AAACAAGTCAAAGATCAACTGCCAGAAACATAGCAAAGATTCCAGGTCTGCTTCATTGCTGCTTGTGGTTAGTTGTGAGGAACATTCCTAGGTCTCACATGGTTTCAAATTAAAAATGCATGGGAATTGATGGATAGCATTGGGCTTCAGGGTTTAATAACCATTAGTATAGACAACAGCTATACTGTTCTTTGACCAGCAATTATGGCTGACATCTTAAGAAGAAAGTGGTATGCTATGTAGACCACAGGCAACAGAGCACAGACTGACTGGGCCTCCTGTCTATAGCCAGATGTCCTGATGTCAGCCCACATTTGCTGGCAAATTGTCAGGAAATCTATTGTCTGGACTTCTGTTGTCTAAACCCCCATGTGCAACATCACCCAACAGATATGAAAATCTACACCATTATCATAGTAACTGATGTTTATTTTGATATGGAAAGCATTCTGAGAACCTTTTTTCAGCTTTAAAAGCCAGGAAGGAAGCAACAGTTCAATGCAATTTTTTTTAAAATGGTTATACATTACTTTGATATTAGCAGGGTTGCTATGAAGTTGTCATATATTCCATATAGCAGAAGTTTTTCACAACAAGAGTTTGTCCTGAAAGTCAGAATCTATTCTTAGAACAAAAGTTGAATTCCCAAACAACGGGTAGTTTCCATGTGAACTGAATGGGAATTGTTGCACTTTTGAGCCTTGCAAAAAAACTAGTTTCTCCTAGCTCAGTTGTTCTGGACCTCAGACTTAATCTAGGCTTCTAGATTTTGAACTAATAGATATGCACAGATATGTGTAAGAGAATGATAGGGTGTCTTGGTTCAGTAAAAGTTGTACACCTGCATTTGTTTATAGTATCTGGATAAATAAGAATAAGTAGTCCTGGAGACACTTAACCATCATGGAGTAAATTATCTATGTGGTTGCTTAAGAGTTGACTATGACTTGATGGCACATAATCAATGTGATAGTAGACAGGGAATTTTATCAGTCACAAATGAAGACAAATATATGTGTCCCAGGTTGCACGATCCAATCTGGATCAGTCACCGAGGTTTAGTCTTCTGAGCTTTCAGACTCATGCTTGAGTCCATCTTCAGGGAAGTTCTCTCTACTAGAATGTGTGTTTTGGGCTATTTTATATGTTGTATTGATACGGTGCCTTCCTATTGGTGGATTGGTGTGTTGATGGCCAGTGATTGGCTGTTCTTTCCTTGTGCTGCCAAGGCACCAACTCTTGTAAGTACCTTGTGCTGCCAAGTCGTTAGCTCTTGTAAGTATTTATTTATTTTTATTTATTTGGTTTGTCAATTGCTTACAAGATAATAGGTATAAGTAAAAACATTGTTACGAGTACATGGATACATATAAGCAAAATAAAAAAATAAAAGAAACAATAGGACAGGGACGGTAGGCACGCTGGTGCGCTTATGCATGCCCCCTACAGACCTCTTAGGAAAGGGGTGAGGTCAATAGTAGACAGTCTAAGGTTAAAGTTTTTGGGGTTTGGGGAAGAAACCACAGAGCTAAGCTAAGCTAAGCTGGTGGTAAACCAGCACTCCTGTTGATTGATAAGGGGCCTGTTTCCCAGGCTTCAATCATTTCTTTGGCATACAATACTATCTGTCATTATGAATTCACCTCACTTCTCAGAGCATCAGGAAAGGCCCTAGAGAAGACCTCTCTGTCGTCAGAAGTTCTACCATCTAGTAGACAGGAAAGAGTCATCTCTTGCTCCCCCCAAGGGAGATGCATTTGACCCCCCCCCCAATCTCCAAATATTTAGGAAGATGGCAAACTCTTATCCTCTGCCAAGCTTTTAAAATTTATTCCAATGTTAAATTTAATTCTATTTTATTGTACTGTTTTTCTTTCTTTTTTTAATCTTTAATCTACTTAAGCCCAATTGGCTATTGAAAAAACAGAAAGGTTGGATAGAAATTTGACAAAAGGAATACAAATATTCTCTAGATGCTTCTGACATCAACTCATTAGCCAAGCTACAAATGCCAGTAGCAAAGGATCATGGGAGTTGATCAGATGTTCAGAAGGGCACCAAGTTGTTTACCTCCAAGCTATATGACGGCTCAGGTACTACTTTTAATGTAATGCTTACAGCCTGCTACAAAATATTTTGATATCTGTCAGCAGGCCTAGTTTGTTCCAGCAGGTATTAAAAGTCAGCTCCTTTTTTTGCAGCACTTACAGTATACTGGATCTTATACTTGTTTCCTTAGTTTTTGTAAGTTGCTTCGTATATTTCTTTTAGAAAGTCAGCCAGGTTTTGAGGGCTGACGAGCTTGCATTATTTAATAATCTGCCTTATTTCCATCTATCACATAAACCAACAGTTTAGTGACAGAATTAATGTTTCAAAACGATTGAATACTTTTCAAACTTTTTACAGCAAGGTCGGATGAGGAATACAGTCTAAAAAAATGCTTGTATTCTACAGTATGATTTGATAGCGGCGGTAAGCCAAGAGGTTGGGTAAATAAAGTACAGGAAAATAGCAGGATGGGGGGGAAAAAAAGAAAGAAAATGTAGAATCCTAACTAAGCAATGAATGAGAGGAGTACTCTGCAAGTAACCAGCTTTTTTGGCAAAAACAACCCCCAACCCTCCAGCAGGCTGCAGGGAAGAAGAGGGTGAAATGCCAAGAAAAACAGAAAAGCATAAGATCAGACTTGCTTGCTCCACCAGGAATTAAGGTCAACTGTGGGGGGGGGGACATATTTATTTATTTCATCCACAATAAATTTTCCCGAAGGGGATGTGATTTTTTCATAGAAAAAAAAGAACAAGCCTCTACCTTTCAATAGATCACCTTACAATGGTATTCCCAAACCTAGCATCCTTTAGATTACTTGGCTGGGAATGATTGAAGCTGTAGTCCAAAGAGCTGAGGACGACTGATTCCATTTCCTTGCAAGATAGAATGATATTGCTACCACACACACACACACCTCGCGTGGTGGAAAAAGGCATCTGAATCTGTGAAGGAACAGTAGAGGTAAAACCAGAACAGTCTCCCAGCTCATACTCTTATGGAGGGAGAATGCTGCTCCAACCCCGCCCCCTCCGTTTTCTGTCATCCACTGCAAGGCTTTCTGCTTGTATGCTACAACTCCATTGCTCTCAAAGTGAACTGAGCATTCATGCCCTTCCCTTCCCACCAACAAAGAGAATTAGCCATGGGGGGGGGGGGGGGAAAAAAAAACTGGCACAAAGGAAGATTATTAGATCAGTCAGAGGAAGTGTGTGTCCACTGCTAGTCAAGCCAACCCCTTTTGCCAAGGACCACACCCTCTTCTCTTCTGGGCACAGATGCTTTTTATCTTTGAGCAAGGAGGTCTTCCTCACCTGGCTCCCCAGATGAAACTTTGCAGGAGAAAATTCAAAGCCATAAAGACAACGGAGCCACCAAGCATCTACAGACAAGGGAGTGGGGGAAGAAAAAAAAAGACAAAAAACAACAACAACCAGGAGCGCAGAGCAGAATCGCAAATCTCCAAAGGGGAGAAGCAGCCTCCCAAGATACAGAAATACAGGATTTGGTGGGTATCCCTTCCCCCCTTCCATCACCAGCACCACCTTTTTGGGGGGGACAGGGGAGAAGAGAAAGGGACGGGACCTGTCCAAGGACTTGGTGCTGCTCTCTTAGCAATGTTCCACCAACGGCACAAAGAGGAGAGGAAGCTGACAAAGGAATCTCCTCTCTTCCCTTTCTAGCACATTACAGACACTTGCGCGGTTAGGATGGTCCTTGGATGCTACATTTGGCACAGAGCAAAAGAAAGTGGGGGGTGGGGAAATAGCAGAGCCATAGAAGACGGCATGGATTCAGGGCATGTTTCTCTACATACAATATTCAAATTAACAAGGAAGGGAAGACCAGCTCGGTAATACCCTTAGCATGCAACTAGCCCCCTCCTCCCATCTTTATTTAAACAAAGGGAGCTGCTGTATGGAGAATATACTGGAGTTAAAGTTGCAGGCAATCAGGTGTGGGGCATCTCCTCTCCAAACCTCCCTCTTGACAATTCAATACCCCACACTGGCTTGTCAGTAGCTTTCCTTTCACAATCTTCCCCTATTATTATTATTATTGTTGTTGTTATTCCGTGAGGAATGATTCTGCCCACGGTATATTCAAAATACCGTATCCATACCGTATCTGCGCTCGAAACGAGACCCACATTCGCCTGCATTAATTTCAAAGCACGTCGTTCTAACCCTTTTTTTTTTTTTTTTTGAGCCCTTTTCGAAAACCCCCTCCGCAAATTTCTTTTAAAAAAAAGGGGAGTTTTTTGAAACACCGCGATTAAAACAGCTGTCAGGTCTCCCTCCCCCTTCCTCCCCCCCCCCCCCTACCGCCCCCCCACTCGTCCTCCGCAGAGGTCTTTCTTTGTTTTGCTTTGCTTTCTTTTCACCTACAAACAGGAAGTTATTTCCCCTGTTGAATGAAGATGAATTTTCGCCTTGCCTTTCTAACTCCTGGAAAGTTAACGTCAGCGGCGGCTGGGCGCGGAGCTGCCAAGTTGGCTAAAGGAAACGAAGACGAGGCAATCCCGATTCTGTCACCTGTCTCCCCCCCCCCACCGTTTTGGGGAAACCCACCCACCCCCCGCCCGCCCTTTCGAAATAAATATGTTTTACGATTCAAGATGGACAGCTTTTCAAGCTGTCAATCTTGGGGGACGATAGGACCGGACGGGCGAAGATAATTGTAGTTGCACAACTCCGGAGGACGCGGCTTTGGAAGAGAGGGCGTCAATTCTTTTTTCAAACTCAAGCTCTATTTATCATACAGACTCCTGGCGACGCGGGAAGCCAACCCACCCACCCACCGCTTCCTCCCTCCCTCCCCCCCCCTCAAAGTATTTCACTAATGGGATCCATCGGGGAGACTCAGGTAAGCAGACGGAAACCACACCAACTTTGGAAAGTCAGAAGGATCCACACCCAGCGAGTAAATAAAACGAAAAATCCACTTACAGCCTCAAAACATGTCCCGTCCGCGGAAAAAAAAATGAAAAGGTTGCTGGTCCAGCCGGGAAGGCAAAACCCAGAGAAAGAGTCACAATCCGTGCAACCGCCAGTGAGACCAGCCAAGGCGGTGAATCACATTTTGTGGGTCCCCTGAAGCACCAGCTCCAGAAACGGACAAACCGAAGCCCAGCACTTCAGATCAGCCAGCGCGCTTCCCATAAGAGAAAGGAGGCTGGCCTTAACCCCGCCCCCATATTACCATATACTATCCTACTTGGGGCGGGGGGGGGAACCACCCCCAACCACCCCAGTGGCTATATTGCCGCTCGCCCACACGCTGCGCCGATTCCTTGGAGAAGCGACCCCTGCTGGAAGCTGGTGGTTGTACAGGGCGCAGACCGGCCACCGGCGCCCCTTTAACGTGCCTGTGAATTATCCCTGCTGTCCAGGAGACGAGACAAGAACGTTGCAGCGATGTCCACCCAGGAGAAAAGAAGGAGTAGGGAGGACATGATAGCAAGTGTTTGAGGGGCTGCCACAAGGGGCTGCCACAAAGAGTAGGGGAGGGGTGGGGGGGTCGGTGTATTTTCCTTTTTTAAAAAAAAAAATATTTTATTAATTTTCCAAAGTTTAAAAACAGAGAATAAAACTATATGCATTGTTATCAACATCAAGACATCTTTTACATTTCCTGATGTTTTTCAATATATGGTTACTTATTCCATTACTATTGCATCTTACTCTTGTTACAAATCAATATATTTCATCTTACACTTCAGTCTTTTCTATAGCACATATACATATTTACATACTTCCTCATTCTTTTTCCTAACTGCCGTTTTATTTTCTTTTGATTTCTAAAGCACTCATCCCAGGCACCCCAGGCTCTATATTATATTGATTTTATATTGTATATATTGTATTTTCCAAAGCGCCAGAGGGCAGGATAAGAAACAATGGATAGAAACTAATCGAAGACAGAAGCAACCTGGAATTGAGGATCAACTTCCTAACAGTCAGGACAATTAACCAGCTTGCCTTCAGATGTTGTGGGTGCTTCATCACTGGAGGTTTTTAAGAAGAAACTGGACAGTCACTTGGCTGAAATGGTGTAGATTCTCCTGCTTGAGCGGGGGGTGGGGGTGGACTAGAATACCTCCAAGATCCCTTCCAACTCTATTCTGATTCTGATTCAGCTGGGATGGAAAGATGAGGCTTCCTTGCAACTTTGTCTACCAGATCTTGGGAGTTTTCTGGTGATAGAAATAAAGCAGGATTTGTCATTGAGGGCGTCTTTGGGACTCCAGGATCTCACTTGGCTTTTTGAGATCTGCTAAGTTCGGCTGCCTACTGCTATTCCTCTTTCCCTCCCGCCCCCTCCCCCCAAAATCTGGAAGAACCCCAAATGAATAATGCATTTGTAGCATGTAGTATTGTTTGCTTCCTGTCACAACTCTGTACCCTGAACACAAAGAAATGTAGATCATATCACTAATTTTGCCTGATATACAGAATTTATTTTTAGCTATGTCTTCTGTTCTGTTTGGCAGGTTTTTTTTTGTTTTGTTTCAGCACTGTTTTTCTTGTGAACTGGTTTGTTAGCTGCCCACATTTATATATTCAAGCTGGGCAGTCATATACTTTTTGTGGGTAAATAAATACATAAATCACAAATTAGAATCGCATTTAGGCTTGCATGTTCTACAAATACATATCGAAATATACTAATAAATTTAGTCCTGGGTTTTTTTTCTTTGACCTGAGGGCCCGTATGGTTGGTTTATTAATTCATCACAATCATTTATATCCTCCTTTTCAGAATTAACCCTTCCCAACGTGCAATAGAAGGAATATAGCTGAAAGCTTTTCCTTCCCATAGAACAGTTGGAAATAATGGGTGGGTGGCAATGGGAAGATCTTCACTTGACATGTTCCTCCTTCAGATATATTTTTCTGTAGGATGGATGATGGTGAAGCAGGGAACGAAGATATTCTGATAATAAAGTAGACCAGAGGTGTCAAACTCGATTTCATTGAGGGACGCATCAGGGGGACTGGGGTGGTGTAGCCATGGTGGGCATGGCCAACATGTTGTCAACATGTCAGGGGTCGCCTTTGGTGGCCCGAGCGCTCTGCCAGGGAAACCAGATTCCTGAACTCCGTTTTCAGCTGCAATAGCCTCCTGCAACCCTCTGCCAGTGAAAACGGAGCTCGGGAGGGCTACGCGTGGCCCTCACAAGCTCAGTTTTTGCTGGCAGAGGCATTGTGGGCCAGTCCTTCGCTGTTTCTAGGGCAGCCCTGCGGGCCAGATCTAAGCACTCTGTGGGCCGGATCCAGCCCCGGGGCCTTCAGTTTGACACCCTGAAGTAGACCATCTGATGGCATTGGTGCTGTGTTCATGTGATGACCCGGAGTGTACCACAAATGTAACAAAAACCAAAAAGTAAATAAATGTTCTTTAATGCCTTCAACTTGGCTTCACTGTTCAATTGTTCATAGTTGGAGATTAAACTCTTTCCAAAATAACATTCTAAATGAAAGAAATACAGTCCAAACTCAAAGAGCAGATAACAAAGCAATACAAAAAACCAAAAACAAACCGCACTGAAGAAAGTTCCATGACAGACCAGGATAATTAATTACAAACTTCAAGAAGATAACCAGATATAGTCCGTTGGAATAACACCAACCAAGAAAACCCTCATCCAGGAATAAAACACTCTTTGTTTCCAGCGTTTGCTAGCATGCAGGTCCAAACTATTACGTAGTTCTCACACCTGCATCCCATGAAGAGGATCAAGGTCCTCTCCTCCCGAGTAGACCACATCTTTCCCTTATCCTCTCCTCCCTGCGTGCCCTAGGATGGATAGGGGAGGGGCCTGGGTTCTCCTCTGCCTGCTCAGCTGGCCTCTGCCCTTCCCCAGCCTCCTCCACAACCTCTGGAGCCACCCTTCCATTCCCTGTTGGCTGTTCCTCCTCTCCCTCAGAGTCAGTCTCCACCAGGGGCATGACAGTTCATCTCTTCCTCTTCCTTTATTCCCTCTAGCAATAACCCACAAAATTAAAAAGTAATTGGCTACTTTGTGGCTCAGTGTGTCAAACCAAGCTGGTGTGATTAGTTTGTAGTTCAGTGTCTTGTGAAAACCCCAAGCCGTTGGATTAATTCAGTAGACCAGAGTTCAGTTAGTGCCTTAAAAAGTACAAGTGGCATCTTCAGAACACATGGGTGACTGTGTAACTCTTGGCAGATAAACTAAGGCTGAGTTGGTTTCTGAAACAAGGCATGCAGGTTGTCAGATCCATTATTAATACTTTGCTGTTTTAATTTAATGTAATATGTGCAGATCAAAGTGCTGTTTAATTTGTATTTTTACTTTAATTTTTTTTATAATTAACTCAAACATACTCCTTCCTTTTCCTCTTTTCCCCACAATGGCCTTGTGAGATGTGTTGGTCTGTGAGGGAGTGACAAGCAGCTCTCATGTCTTGGGTGGGACTAGAATTCCTAGTCTCCCTGTTTCTAACCTGGTGCCACTAGATCAGACTGGCTGTGTATGCTATACCGTATACGCTATATAGGCATCCTTACAGGCAGAGCTTGTTTCTGCTAAATGAAAGCTTTTGTGACTCATAAGGCATCAAAATTTAATGCTGTCTCAGTGATAAAAACCTTCCCATAGAGAATTGCAAGCTCTACCTGAAATGTTATTTTCACTTACCTGAGAAAAAGTCTATCTGAACTTTCTTCTGATCAGAGGATGAATGTGCTGCCAAGTAATCTGTCAAGTTCACAGTGGATAGGATACCATGTTTTAAAGTGAGAAATTCCTATTCCACATCTCCTGTTCCTGACTTTCCAGGAATATGAATGCCTGCAAGTGTGCTTCAAATAGCCCCATCTTAATGAAAGATGACTTTGTGCTTGATCATGAATTTTTAAGGGTAAAAATCAGTGGGTAAAAGACAAGGTGAACTGAGATGATGCATCCAGAGGTGGTATTCAGTAGCTTCTGACCAGTTCTGGAGAACTGGTAGTGGAAATTTTGAGTAGTTCAGAGAACCAGCAAATACCCCCTCTGACTGGAGATTTTACAGTATCCTTCCCCCGCCATGCCCACCAAGCCATGCCCGCAGAACCAGTAGTAAAAAAAAAATTGGAATCTCACCACTGTATGCATCCCATCAAAAGGCAGTCAGTCTCCAGAGAAGCAAGCAAACCTCCCCAAGATTGTTTTTCCCCAAGCCTTTAATTATCATAGAAATTATTTTTTTTCATATGATATCTCCAATCATGGGTTATTTACAATTCCAGATTATCAGGTTGTGAACAAAAGAAGTGTATGAGAAAGAAGAAAAATGTTCTTTGTGTTGGTGTATAAATAAAGGAATGTGCATAGGAAGCACAACCACTGTCTTTTTCAAAGAAGATTAATTTCAACTCCCAGAATTCCTCAGCCAGAGAAGAGTGGCTGGGAGTTCTGGGAGTTGAAGTCCACAAATCTTAAAGTTGCCAAGGTTGGAGGCCCCTGAATTAAAGGACAAACAGGCTTTTTATTGAATGAATTAGAGCAGGAATGTCAAACTTGCAGCCTGAGGTCCGGATACATCCTACACTGGCCACCCCCACTCCCGATTCAGCGAAGGGGGAAAAATTCACGATATGTCACATGACAACAATGTGATGCCATGTGTTTGACACCCCTGAACTAGAGTGATAATCAGAGATAGTATTCAGCAGTATTCTGACCAGTTCTGGAGAAATTTTGAGTAGTTCGGAGAACCGGCAAATACCACCTCTGACTAGCCCTGCCGCATCTATTCTCTACCTCCTGACTCCCAGCTGATGGTTGAGTCTTCTTTTGTTGCCCTGCACAGAAGAACGGAGCTAGAAAACAGGTTAGTGAGGTTGGGAGGGAATGAGATTTTTCAGTAACCTTCCCCCAGAAGTGGGATGGGAATGGAGATTTCGCAGTATTCTTCCTCTGCCATGCCCATCAAGCCACACCCACCAAGCCACACCCACAGAACTGGTAGTAAAAAAATTTGAATCCCACCACTGGTGATAATGAGTGATAAATCATATTGTAGGCCAAATTCCTGTCAAAATCTCCAGTTATTGTGGTTCTGTTGCCATATATGCAATGAAGGCCAGATGAGAATACCTGACTAATTTTGAATTGCTAAGGTACCCACCTCTTTAGAAGCCCTCAAGAGTTGAAGGAATATTATCATT